ACTGCTTTGTGTGCGGAAGCTTTTGGAGAGCTCTCCGTACACTCTCACACGTCCGGAAGTCTGAGAATACAAAGAACGTATTATGTTTACAAACTTCCGGGGCATTCCTTGGTGGGCAAGCGTCTGAAGAAGAACAGACCGATCAACCGAGTCGAATGCGCCTCGGAAATCCAGGAATACTAGAATCGTGGGTCGCTTATACGTATGGCGTTGTTCTAGCATCAAGCTGCGATAATTTCCTTGATATACCCTCTATGAACTAATTGGGGCAATACAACTGCTTGGGCCCATAGATTTGTTATTAACAGATACAGGTAACATAGGTAACACGCTTATACGTATGGCGTTGTTCTAGCATCAAGCTGCGATAAATTACTTGATATACCCTCTATGAACTAATTGGGGCAATACAACTGCTTGGGCCCATAGATTTGTTATTAACAGATACAGGTAACCATAGGTAACACCTGTTATAGCCCTGAAATATGAAACACTTTTGTCGTGACAGATAAGTGTCAAAGCAGTAAAAGCTGGCTACATCATTTTTTTAGATTGATAGGGGCTGATGTATTACCGTATTAGAGTACTGTCTACTGCACTGACAGCCTTTTTTAAAGCGTTTCAGCTTGTATCGTTCCTGCTTTTACGTAGCTGACTGTAAAAGTACGGATAAAAAGTTGATCCACCTCACGCTTATGTAAATAACCTTATGCTCGTTTCTTCACCAGGAGCGATGACTCCAAAAAAAACAGCCACATTCTTGGCTTAGGTCATACGATGGAGTGTTCTGGGCTATTCAAGTTGTTCAGAGCAGCCAGATCTCATGTCGGACCTCCAACGATCCTGTCGAAGGGTTTGATAAGTACCAAACCAATGGGATCTTGATTGGAAAACGACTGTTCTAAAAGAAAACATTTGGTTGTTCGGGAACATGCAATCCACCACAAGTTTTATGCTGGTTGAGACCCATCGCGTGGATATCGGGTTATCGTTTCCACTGTCTACTGCGGTGTCGAGCGGCCTCATGCCCAACTTGGGTAGAATTAGTTTCTTGGTTTAGCCCTCGCGGCGTGCGTTTTCTCAGAATTTGTCTTCTCTCCACACAGTTGGCTCCGGGATCGACATTTATGAATATGCTCCCAAAGTGAAACACTGCTGTCCTCGTTACTGGCTGCCACTAGTGTGTTATGCTTACTGCTTAATATAACTGTGAAAAACAAAATGAGAAATACTTTAATTTGAGCCATTTGATTAAAATAAGGAGGACAGTGCCGTGTGATAAGTAAATATTCAAAACGACGAGTCTTGAACTGCTTCCCGGCTGCTATCCATGTAGGTAGTCGTTGACAAATGGTCTGATGCCCAGGCGCCGAAGTTATCGCTTTGAACTCTCATAGTCTTCCGTGTTTTCAGCTGTTGTCCAAGTAAATCAACCAATAACGTTGCAAGGTAAAGTACGATCAAGCGCACTGCTTATGCCTTCCTCATGTCCACCGTCAACCGTGATAGTCGACGTGTAGTTCAGCGCGTCCAGTGACAAAGCGCCTCTTCACGATTATCTTAGGAACAAAAGCGCTTGAATCGAAAAACAAACACTGCACCGATCCCTATCAACAAAACGCCGATCCAAAAGTTAACCAAATATTTGTTTGTGAGTCTACGGAAGAAAATATCAAAATCTTAGGGTCCCTCGTTTCCTGAGTGCAGTGGTTGGCCGTTGGTTTAAAAAAAAACGTTTTGGTTTGCACAGCAATGAACCTAGGAGAAGACTGCTGCTGCTGCTACTACAGAAATTAACTTAAAAAATCATCATAAGAAATGGGTTTCTCTCAGTATCAATGAGACGGACCTATCCTCTACGTGAATCTCCAAGTGCTCATCTGCCTCAAAGGGGTTGCAAGGTGTCAGGCTACACGATGGCTAAAAATAGGTTAGCACGAAAGCTAGGCCATAATTTTAGCGTTGACTTTGAGTTGAAGTCACTCTTAGTCTACCATGCTGTCCAAGTATGTGCCAAAGCTGATGCTTCTTATCAGTTGGATAACCAGTTTGAAGATTTGGTTCGCCATTTTTACGTTTCAAGAACGACAGCATCTCCGTGGAAGTGAAATTAGGTGTGATCAGGTTGTAATTACCTCGTGGTCATTGCTCTAAAGAACAAATGCGGTAGATCACGTGAGTATATCCGACTTTTGTCAAAAATGAGCTTATATCCGTTTCGTAGAGCTGGTAAACGACGCAGGATGCGATCCGATTGTACATGCAATCGATCCATAAATAGGCACTGAGCACATTAGTTAGTACACGGGTTTTATGGTCTTTCCTCTGAATTTGAAACGTCTACCTTGAGAGAGGTGAACTACTTGGTAAGAACTGAATTTCTTTATAGGAATTTCGCGCATTTTATTTTCTGACTCCTATACTGTGAGTCCATAATCTCTTGTACATCCTGAGGATATCCATTCGGACATCACACTTGTTTGTTGGAAAGAACACGGTTAAATTTCTCTCCCCAGACTTGAGTCTTCCTTATGTTTTGCTCTTTGTTTCATAGGCATCGTCACTGCGTTCCCACACAGCTGGCTTTTTTGGATTTATGCCACGAACAGCTGATTCCATCTATGCATGGTGAGAAAGCCCATCAACCAGTTGCACTGGACTTTGTCTGGCGCTTGAATGAAAAGTTCTTCGAACCGCTATTGCTCCATGTTTCACATACATCTTTGGAAATATTTGCTGTCAACCATGTGAATGACTGGCTTGGCGTGTTGCGACAGTTAGACATTTCGTCTGACGGGACAGACGCTCTGCATGACCTGTTCGTTGGTACACTGTGCTTTAATCTGTTCACCGTTCTCTACAACCGATTGCCAAAGGTACTCGTACATGATAAGGATGCCAAGTTGGTGAAGACTGTCATTCAAGCCGATCATGGTGGACAGGCTTCAGTAGAATACAAAGGTGTCGAACTAACCAGATCATTAATTAAGTAAGTTCTTCAGATTTTCTTATAGACTGACAGTGACGTTGATTTCATGCACACTTTTGTGTGACTCGTAGGTGTGTGTCAGATGAATTGTCACCGAGATTTGACAAAACGAATTGAACGACTCAAAGCTCAGTTACGAAAGCCTAATATAGGAGCTTCTGTCGTCATCCGATAGCACTTTTGGATTGATTTCAGCCGCCTCTCCAGGAACTTGTAGGTAAACGAAAGACTCATGCGCAGCATGATTTTTGTTGACTAAAGGTGAAACGATGGTATTGATGGTTTGTCCGATAACTTTACTAGCAACCTAACATCATTTTCTCTGGTTTTCGCATGCTTGCATTCCCTAGTCGTTTCTAAATATGATTCGTTCCATGTCGACAAATACACTCATTTGTACATCAATTTGGTTTTCATCGGAGACTCAAGTGATTTTTTGGTTTATGGATTCTTCAACGTGCTACACAAAGGCCTCCTCATGTTTCAGTCGGCACGGTATTCGAGACATCACAGTATATTTCCATTTTCCGAAGAGTTTCCAGCGATCTTGTGAGTAGTTTCCGTTGTGAAGATGTAAGTAATAGACAGGTGGCTCTGAGTTGGCTACTCACTTTCAGTAATCTGTAGTTTCTATGTATATAAGGTATAGATCGGTTGTTCGAAACCCGCAAATAGTCTGCGCTATTCTGGTTCGCCAGGTTGGCGTTGTTTTCCTCATCTGAGTTAACCAATGCCTACTTTGAGCGGCAATTCGTTTGTAGACGGATTTTCAGTCCATATGTGTATATCGTCGATGTACTTTCTCTCGTATCTAATACTATGTGTAGCACAGCTTGCCTGAGATTTGGTCGCGAAGAGATTTACTTACGTTTCCTTGATTTTGCTCGAAAAGACAAAATTCCATACTTCTCATTGGCCTTCCCTAGAAGCCAGTCAACACTAGGTCGTGTTTAGTGAACTTCGTGAACAGGACACAGTGATTCTCGGACTTTCAGCAGGGATTGACTTTGCTTCCAGATGAAATTAATCAAAGCCGGTTTCTTCGGTTAGTGTGGAGAGCGTATCCTTACGTATGGGAACGTTGGAAGTTACTCAAATTGGAAGCACCTTGACAAAGTCGATGAAAGGTTAGATGTTCTAACATTACAGAATCCGCTAGTCAAAAATGGAACATTTCGGTAGCCAATGAAGATATTGACTTGTCATTGAATGTGTTATTGATGTGTTGACCCAGTTAAGCAGTGGCGTTTCGCCGCCAATCGGGGAGGCACTCTCAACAACCTACCAAAAATTTAAAATGTTGCTAGTCAGTTCTATAGTTCACATCTTCACCCCTAGCAGTAGAGTTGGCTGATATTCAATTTGCACATTGTTTCCAACTTCCCTTGGTGAGCAATGTTTGAGCAGAAACAACACACTGTCATATCTCTATCGCAACGTGCCAAAAATGTTATATTCATATTCATTTTCCTTTAGACTGGCTAATGACGTCTTGGACAAATTGCAATCGAATCCCACTCCGGGACTGGAAACTTCTTCAAGCAGACTGAAGAAGGCACGTCGACACTTTTTTTCAGCTGCGTGGTCATGTCTTTCAGCAGCCGTATGTTCCACGCAGACGCAGATGAAGTTCTATCAGAAGCTTCTCTTCCGTGACGGTCTTTTCCAGCAGCTATTGCCAGATTCATTTGAAACACCATTGTATCTTCCAAGCCAAGTAAGGGAACGAATGCCACTACTTTCAAAGCAGTTCCATTGCCACCGAATCCAGTCCACTGAGATCCGTGTGTAATCCCTTTTAGCATCCAACGCTACATCGTGGGCGATTTCTAAACGTTCCGGAAACCTTGTGGTCTAGTGATGAGCTGAACTCTCGGGCCATCACCTTCCAGCCAATGATCAACGAAAAAACACCAATCGGATATGGACCACCGTACGGTAGTCCGTCAGGAATCTTCAACTCAGCGTTCGCGGGGAGTACATTAGCTCTGGAATTGAATCGATTCGATCGCATTGCTGGCACGCAGGTAATTTCACTCGTGGTGACGACTGACCTGATTTGCTTACATCAATCTTACTCACTGTTGCAAAGCTTATAGGATTGGGTGAAATTAGCGAAACAGTGATGGCCCGCATGATCTGCAGAATTCACCCACTGATTGGGATGCTGATCGCTTAGTTTGGCTGAATTGCCACTCGTCCGTTTGCTGAGGTGGGCAAACGAAATCGAATCATTTACTTGTAGCACCCTTTCGGTGCCCAACTGCTATGGCAACGGAAGGAGACACAAGGGCTGGGATACTGCCAGGTTGCCGAAGCCTGGACGGGAGCAGTCGAAACGCTGAAGTTATGTTCGAATCAAGGACTTTTCGGTCTGTAAGCTGGTACCTCAACTACTGAGCACCTCGAGTCCTGAAGTTATGTTCGAATCAAGGACTTTTCGGTCTGTAAGCTGGTACCTCAACTACTGAGCTACCTCGAGTCCGTGACCACTGAGCTATCTCGAGCCCGCCGAGCTAGGCGGGCAAACTTTCCGTCACTAGGTGATTTGTCATCGGGATTGTTTTCGATATATATTTCCTCAAGTGGCACAGTCGCAATGTCAAAAGATACTTTGCCTCAAAATTGTTTCTCTCCAGGACGGTGAAGCACTGTAGTTCCATCTGACCGACTAGGTATTTTTAAGAAGCGAATGTGGTAGGTACTTGGACATAAGCTTATGTCTCACCCATAAGCACGTTCACTTGCTCACAAAGGCCTTGTTCAGTTATTTACTGTGCCTTTCGTTATCGACAAAATACCCCTGACATACAAGTGAATCTTATGTGTTGGTGCTCTGCTAGCCTATCTAAGCGAATACAATGGCCGTTCTGTACCTCATTTGAGAGAAGCATTGACTGACACTTCCATGATTCGTCAAATAGATTAACATCATCTTGGAATAATGCTGTAGCGTCTGACCATGAACTGTCACTGTGTGTTCATGATTACCTCACTTTGGAGCCCGATCCGTCTTACTCTTCCCACTCTGGTGCTTGTTTTTCTCTCTGTTGCCTCAGTTACTGGAGTTGGAAATGCACCAGAACACTGTGGAGACTGAGTATGCGGATACCAATGAGCCCGTGTCAAATATCACTGTAGTATCCGGCACCCCACCCACGATGACCACTGGTAAATGTGTTCAGCTGCCTATGGATAGTGTGAATCGTGAGCCTCTTGTCTCTGGAATGACGGGTTTGTTGAAGCACTTGAACCGGCTGCCACTCTCCACAGAAGATACAACGGTATACCTTTTAATCGTAACATGTCACGCGTTTTTCGCTTCCCTTTATTCTGGCCATATCATTCTCCTCGCGATGGCCCTCTTCGTTGATAACCCTTTTAGGTGGATTTGACCAGGGGCGATCCGTTTTGGTCCGGCTACCTGCACGGACAAATGATGCGGTCATCAGTCCCTGTGAACGTTCAGACTTGTATTGTGAAAATTATTGACAACTGTCCCGAGGTGAGTGTAGCCACATTTACTTTCAATAACTTGGTCACCTTAGACTTGGTTTTGTGTGTACATTCCAACAACGAGGCTCTTTCTTCGGTGTCCTTCACGAAAAAGATTCTAGTCTGGGAGTCACTAATTTAGATAGTCACTCGATTGGGTGAACCAGATAAACGTCTGCTTTTATTAAATCTCAGCCTCCATTTATTGTAGATAACCTGTGCAACAGTACCACTCTGTTGAAAAAACTGGTTTGAGAAAAATTAACGACAGTCACTGTCTCTTAGCTAGATCATGACACAGCACCAGCAAGTCACTATTGGTACATGGATGCTGTTGGGTGAACCGCTGTTAGGGTTCTTGTCCATACTTCCGTGTGTTTCTTCACATTTTTTCTGCTGAACTGTATCACCGCTCAGCCTTGATTTTCCTCTCTGGGTTGGGATAGTTAACACCTCAATCACCCGAACATCAAGTCATTTGGCAAACCTTCACGCTTGTTTAATGAATCTGAATGATGTGACCCAGTTCAACACCCCCCCCCCCCTAAGAAAGAGGCGTCTGGTTGTCCCCGAAGGGAAGCCACTTTTGGAGATTGTTGTGACCCACTCATTGCAGTTTTGCTTTGGCAAGTTGGTGTTTTATCACTGGTGAACCAAAAAGCAGTTGTGCGCAAATTATGGTACCAGTCGTCGTTCCCCTCCGGAGAGAGATTGTAACTCCTCACATGTGTATAGAGATAAGCGGATCAAAGCTTATCTCAGATAATAAAAACCCCAATTGGACGATGGCAAAAAAATAAGATTTTCAATGCTTCGGATTGTTAGTACAGTAAAAATTCTTCTAACTAAAGAAAACACTCCATTTCGTGTTTTTATAAGCTTATTATTCTTTGACTGATGGGCCATCCAAAAGATACGAAACTCACATTTTTACGCCTATGTTTTCCGTTGTTTCACATTTCTCTTGGGGATATTGCACTTACCCGATGTTGAGCTCAAGAAGGTAGGGTGCTCAGGGAGTTTTTTATGCCCATGTCCAAGGCGGAGGGCCAGCGTCCAGGAGTTTGAACCCACTCGTTACTGCTTTCATTTTAAACAATTTCTGACGGGAGTCAGTCGTCCATGATGCCCATCGCGCTCCTCATTCGCGGTGCTGTTAGTTCTACCTTCATCTTCCTCTCCGAGTATGCTTCAGCCAAGCGCCCTGCTTTGGTGTCTTGAAACCAGGGTTTAGCCAGCTCTCCTGACGGGCACGCAGTCAACTCGGTTATACAGCCAAGCACCTGCTTCCGTCTTGTGCTCTAGTAAGAACACTGGGTAGATCTTAATCGGCATGGGCACATTATTTGGGGCATTTCGATTGGAATCACCAAGATAGACCAAACTTTTAGCATCACATCCCAACTGTAATAAAACATTTGAACGCCGGATTATATTGTCTTGCTTCTAGAGAACAATGAGCAACGAAGTCGACGAATATAAGCTATATTGGAGTTTGCCTAACACTTGTAAAGACGACAGACCTTGCTGTCATGGCCACTAATGGCAACACAAGAAAGTAGGTGACAGATATCTGGAAAAAAACGTTTCGGGAAGGAGCTAGCCAACTTTTCACGTCAGTTTCTCTATGCTTCAACGGGACCGAAAAATGATTCATATGACGTCGAACGGCACTGGAGGGAAAACTCCGCGACAGCTATTAATGAGTAACAGAACCACGTCGGAAAATTCATGTGAGACTTACCGCCCGAAAGACGTTGACAGCTCTCGAATAGCTGCTTTTCTCTCCTTACAATGAGTAAAATTATTTGCTCCTTATTGGTATGTCTGAAGGTATGAAAAATAAAATGCCAGTTGCGATCCCACCCCCGTCGCCAGTTATTGTGGCTAACTGAACGGTGGTGAAACTCTGTATCGGTCCCTTGGCTTCCTACCCCGTCCACTATGGTATATCAAAAGTCACGGTTGCTCTATACAGCCCTTTATGGAGACAAAAGGAGAATTATTACAACTGTATTTATGAGGTAATCACAGAGTTTTCCACAAGGTCGTGCTAGAATCACCGTGAGGGGACGAGAAATGTCGAGTGAAAGATGCTCGATCCGGACTGGCTGGCATTCTGACTAATCAGGGCATGCCTCCGTTTGGTCCGTGTCCCGCTCGTGACACATCCGTCCAAATGATGATGTTCGGTTATTAGGGACGGCTGGCCTCTGGACAGATTCCTCAACATCACTACACGTGATCGTAATGTGAACTGGAAACTCGTTCTGCGTCAGATTCAAGACACTCCAACGGAGCACCTACGGGGGCAACCGAAATCAGTGGGTAATAAGGGTACTTTGTTGTGCGTCCGTTTAAACTTCGGAATAAACTATCTGAGGCTTTTTGTTCTTTGTTCGCTGTAATGCGTCATTCATTCGTTCGATGCGGATGGCGCTACTATTTCCCCATATATATATATATATAT